ACTGTCAGTGCTAAACGCAATGCAGGGCTTGAACTCATGAACTGTGAGACCATGACCTGAGCCAAGATCAAGTCAGATGCTCAACCGACTAAGCCGCCCAGGCACCCCTGCAATGAAATGTTTTAATGTGAGGGAACATCTCTACAGTCTCCGCGAGCGCACCCTCACTTGCCCTAGACACACGGCACGAGGAGGGGACAGAGGGGACCTGAACGACACGATCCCTGCCCTAAGGGAAGGCTTTTCTGTGGCGTTTTCCACCTTACCCATTTTCTAATGCCTTCCCGTATTCCTAAGGCGCTTTTTCCATTTGTTTGTTTTTTTACATTCCACAAATAGTGAAATGATATGGTATTTGTCTTTCTCTGACTTATTTCGCTTAGCATAATACAGTCTAGGTTCATCCATGATGTCACAAATGCAAGATTCCAACCTTTGTTATGGGTGAATAGTACTCCATTGTGTGTATGCATGTGCGTGCATGCGTGCATGTAGGCATGCACGTGTGTGTGCATGCATGGAGGCATGTGTGTGCGCGTGTAGGCATGTGTGTGCGTGTGGGCATGCGTGTGTGCATGTATGCGTGTGTGCATGCACGTAGGCATGTGTGTGCGCGTGTAGGCATGTGTGTGCGTGTAGGCATGCATGCGTGTGTGTATGTACCACCTCTTCTTTATCCATTCATTTGTCAGTGAGCCCTTGGGTTGCTTCCACATCTTGGCTACTGTAGACAACGCGGCAGCAAGCGTAAGGATGCCTGTATCTTTTCAAATTTGTGGTTTCCTCTTCTTTGGGTAAATACCCAATAGTCGAGTTACTGGACCATATGGTAATTGCATTTTTATTTTTTGAGGAACCTTCATATTGTCTCCACAGCGGCCGCACCAATTTACACTCCCACCAGCAGTGCACAAGGGTTTCCTTTTCTCCACATCCCCGCTGACACTTAATTGTTGCTTGTCTTTTTGAAAACAGCACTCTGAGGGTGCGAGGTGACACCTCGTCGCGGTTTTGATTTGCATTTCCTGATGATGAGTGATGTGGAGCACCTTTCCGCGTGTCCATCGGCCATCTGGATGTCTTCTTGGGGAAACGTCTGTTCAGGTCCTCTGCCCATGCTTACGCTGGATTGTCTGTTTTGGTGCTGAGTTATATAAGCTCTTCACATATTTTGGATATCAACCGCTTATCAGATATGTGATTCGCAAACATCTTCTCCCATTCTGTGGGCAGCCTTCTTGTTCCGTAGATGGTTTCCTTTGTTGTGCAGAAGCTTTAAGTTGGTGTAGTCCTAATCTTTTATTTTTCATTTTATTTCTCTTGACTGAGAAGACATACCTGAAAAATGTTGTTAAGGCTAGTGTCAAAGAAATTTCTTCTAAGGCTCTTTTTTTTTTTTAATGTTTATTTATTTTTGAGAGAGAGAGAAAGCGCCCCAAGGCTCTTTTTTTGAATTGTTGGATTATTGCCCCTGACGACTTCAAAATACGAACACACAGGAAAAATGTGTCTACGGGAGAATAAGCTTCCTAAATTCTCCCACCAGAGTAGGAAGCCAGTCCATAATATTGAGAACTGAAAAATCAAGGAACCACAGCCTGATATTTACAAATAGGAAGATAACACACATACACACAAACTAGAAGAGTTGAAAGCATTGCCCTTGGGGTGCATGACTCAGAGATGGGCTTGGGCCTGCTGTTTTACACCAGAGCCTTTGCATACTACTTGCCTGGTTAAGAATGAAGTCAATGAGGGGTGCCTGAGAGGCTCAGTCGGTTAAGCGTCTGACTTCAGCTCAGATCATGATCTCACAGTTCATAAGTTTGAGCCCCAAGTTGGGTTCTATGCTGACAGCTCGGAGCCTGGAGCCTGCTTCGGATTCTGTGTCTCCCTCTCCCTCTGCCCCAAAAACAAACATTAAAAAATGTTAAAAAAAAAAAAAAAAAGAATCAAGTCCATAGATTATTTCAGTAAGAATGAGAACGATGTTTGAGCTTTGAACAACACAGGTTTGAATTACATGGGTCCACTCATACACAGTTTGTTCGATACAGTATAGTACTGTAAACATGGCTTCTCTTACCTTATGATTTTCTCAAAGTACTTTCTTTTCTCTAGCTTACTTTATTATAATAATACAGTATATAATACAACATACAAAATATGTGTTAATCGATGTTTTACCTTATCGGTAAGGCTCCCAGTCAACAGTGGGCTATTTGCACTGGAGTTTTGGGGGAGTCAAAAGTTACAGATTATCGACTGCACGAGGGAGTCAAAAGTTACAGATTACCCCTGCACTGTTCAAGGATCCGCTGTAATTTTAAACATAAAGAAAGCTAGGTATTTTGTCTCTAGTTTTGCACGTTTGGGGTTTGATTTGGAATTTGAATCAGGTCTTCCTGACTCCAATCACTCTGTTACATGTAAAGAGCATTAGAAGCCCGTTTGGCAGGTGACAAGAAGCGAGTGAGGCGCTGTAACCTATACCTGTGCGCGCCTGCGCGCCAATTCCCCTCACGGCCCAGCCAGACCCACCTTTCTCTTTCTTTCTTTCTTTCTTTCTTTCTTTCTTTCTTTCTTTCTTTCTTTCTTTCTTTCTTTCTTTCTTTCTTTTTCTTTCTTTTTCTTTCCTTCCTTCCTTCTTTCTTTCTTTAACATTTATTTATTTTTGAGAGGCAGAGAGTGAGCAGGGGAGGGGCAGAGAGAGAGACAGAGACAGAATCGGAAGCAGGCTCCAGGCTCCGAGCTGTCAGCACAGAGCCCGACACGGACCCACGAACCCATGGACCCAGCACAGAACCCACGAACCATGAGATCATGACCTGAGCTGAAGTCGGACGCTTAACCGACTGAGTCACCCAGGCGTCCCCAGACCCACCTTTCAATAGCAGTATCATTCTCCAGCAAGGCCCCCTGCCAGGCCTTGATACATCCTTTACACCTTATTCGGCTGAGCCTCCCTCCTTGCTCAGCCAGGCAGGCTAACAGGTGGCAATTTCCCGTCAGGGTCACAGGGAGGCATGCCCGGTGTCGTCCTTGTTCCCATGCAGAAGCTCCCTGAACTTGTCCATGACTATCTCGGGCACCCGACACAAATCACACTAGTTGGTCACACCATCTCCACATGCCAAGAGAGCCTACCCCCTGCCAGCTGCCTTCCTTGGTGTACAGATCACCCTGTTCTAGCTTGTGTTCACGTCTGTGCGGAGGAGGCTGAGGTGGGCGGGTGAGAGAGAGCACGCACTGCTCCGCAGCTGGTCTTTCGCTGTGGGCATTTCGAGGTCGGGCTGGCGTGCCTGGGCGCCTAAGGCTGCAGATCAGCCACGAGCATGTCGGCTCGTCCCAGCATCAGGGACCCTCCCTGCCTGGCAGCAGCACCCCCCAGTACAAGGTATCAGCACATGCCTGTGTGGCATTCCCTGTGTGCCACACCCATCGCTTCCCGTAATCCAGGCAAGCATCCTTGTGGGAGACCCTAATATTATCCCCATTTTATTTTATTTTATTGTTTTTATTTGAAAATTTTTATGTTTATTTATTATTGAGACAGAGAGAAACAGAGCATGACTGGGGGAGGGGCAGAGAGAGAGGGAGACACAGAATCTGAAGCAGGCTCCAGGCTCTGAGCTGTCAGCACAGAGCCCGATGCGGAACTCGAACCCACGAACCGTGAGATCATGACCTGAACCAAAGTTGCACGCTTAACCGACTGAGCCACCCAAGCGTCCCTATTATCCCCGTTTTACAGATGAACAAAGGGAGGCACAGAAAAGTTGTGTAACTTGGCCAAAATTACACAGCGGGAACTAAGCAGCAGGTGGTCTAGTTCCACAGTTCAAGCTCATAGGTGCCCTGTGAACGTGTATTTTGTTAACTTCTTTATTGCAAAATGGATTCCTAAGCTCATAAAACAATGCAAAGTGTGTACAGAGTACAGGATTTAAAGTCAGCACTGGGTTTCATTCTTGGCTGTCTGCCTGGGGAAGCCCATCTCCATGAACTGCACCCACCGTCCCTCCAAACCCAGTGGGCTTGCCCAGTAGAGTGCCCTTGGTCAGAGATCAGGGAGTAGATCCCAGCCTCTCCTGGTGGCGGCCTTGGACGGGCTGTATCACGTGTTCTCCAGGTCAGGCCTCCCCTGGGTGCCTCTCTCTTGCGGGTGGCCTCCCCCTCCCCCTCCAGCCCTGGGGGCGGTGACGGTCTCCCGGTGCTGGCCCTGGAGCCCTGCACTCCGCCTGTGGCTCCGTTACTGCCCCATTCTGGAAGCAACCTCCCTTTGTAAATAACCCTCCTGGAATTTCCCTAATTTGCGGAAGCCATCTGTTTTCCCACGGGCCGCTGACTGATGTGACGCCATCGTGAATAACGGTGGAAGCTGGAAGCACCTGAGACGTGGGAGAGCACGGGGAGGGGGCTGTTTAGGAGGCCCTGCAGCGTCGCGGCGGGAGGTGACGCAGCCGGCGCAGGGGATGTTCGGAGGAAGCGTTACAACGGAGTGGGGGAAGGGCACGGCTAGGGTAGGCTGCTTGGGGAAGAGCAAACGCCCGCGGCTAAGTTGCGTTTACAGCCAGGCCTCGAACAAGCTGCCTGCGGGCAGGGAAGGCGGCCTCGTGGAGCACGGAGGACACAGATCAGAAACCAGCGAATCGTGGAGCGAGTCAGCGAGGGTCCCGGCCCAGCACAGACCTCCCTCCTTCCCACGGGGGCCCCGGGTGGACCCCAGGTCGGGGGGAGAACACGGCTGAGGCCTCAGGCCAGGACGAGGGGCCGGGGAGCCTGTGCACGCGCGCGTGCGTGTGCGCGCGCGTGCCAGCACCTGGCTGAGGCGCCGGGGAGCCCCGCCCACTGGGGGCGGAGCCTGCGGCGGGGAGGGGCGGAGCCTGCGGCGGGAGGGGCGGAGCCTGCGGCGGGAGGGGCGGAGCCTGCGGCGGGAGGGGCGGAGCCTGCTGCGGGAGGGGCGGAGCCTGCGGCGGGCGCGGCGGGCGAGGCGGCAGGCCCTCTGCGGCCCGCGGCCCGGCTGCAGCCCCAGCCCCCGGAGGTCCCCGCTCCGTGGCCCTGGGCAAGTGGCGAAGCCTCCTTGGGTTTCAGACAGCACCTGCCTCACGGGGTCCCCGCGGGGATGAGCGGAGGCTACCGTGTGCTGAGCATTTGCTGTGTCGCCGCACCAGCAGGCCGCGCCCGGCGCAGTGACCCGGCTGCTCCGACCTGGCGGCGGCGGCGGCGGCGGCGGGAGTGGGCCCCGCGCCCCAGCTCCCCAGACCCCGCCTGACGCCCCCAGCTCCTCGCGCGTGGCAGCGGCTGGGGCGCGGTTCCGGGCGTGCGGGCGCATTTCCCTCGGTGCGCGCGGCGGGCACCCCCCGCCCCCGACCCCGGCCCCGCCGGCAGAGCTGGCGCCCGCGCTGCCCTGTGCCCGTGGGTGGGGGGGGGGCGCGGCCACACACCACCACCCACCCCCTGCAGAGCTGGCGCCCGCGCTGCCCTGTGCGGGGCGGGAGTGGGGGGCGCGGCCACACCCCCCACAGCCCAGCGAAGCACGAAAAACACACAGATCGCTGGCAGTGTTCTTTTCTAACCTTGACGACAGAAATACTACTTCGTGCGCTACAAGAGCGAACGCAACCACGACTGATTCACAGCCAACACGTGCGGAAACGGGTTCTCCCGGGGAACTGAGAGTGGAGACGGAGCCCCCTCCCCACTGTCCCCACCTCCACACTGTGGGGGAGGGACTGGGGGCGCGCCGGCCACCTCTGGGGCGGAGTGGCTGGGGTAGGAGCTGGCCTGAGGATGGGTGCACGGGAAGGCATGCAGGCTGGGGAGCAGGGGCTCCTGAGCTCCGGCCCCTGGGGGGAGGTTAACCGCCCCTTGCTAGGTGTGGGGAGCCCTGAGGGCTGTGGGGAGCCGCTGGGGAAGTGGCCGGGTGTGATTTCCACTTTAGAAACACCCTTCTGGCCTTGGGGTAAATCAGCTCGGATGGCTCACGGTAGGGTGCAGTGGGAAACAGGGCTGGCTGGGGAGGGGGGTGAGGCCTAGGCCACGCCCAACATCTGGCTGGAGTGCTGAGTAGACGGCAAGGTGGGGTGGCCGCAGGCTGGACAGAGGCAGGGGGTCCTGAAGCGTGGCCCTCCCCAGGGACGGCGTGGCCCTCCCCAGGGACAGCATGGCCAAGCAGGACACAGCACAGGTCCTACGACTGCCAGCTCCCCAGGCCTGGGTGGAAGCCTCGGGGGCCATCGCAGGGCCTCTCTTTCTGTCGTCCCTAGGAAGTCCCCTTCAAAGCACATCAGAAAGGAGGCCGCTTCTCCACATCCACTTTTGTCCTCAATCCTCCGGAGGGGTTTCTCTCCTCCGCTCCTTCCACCCTCCCCATGGTGCCCTCTGGGCATCGGGAAACATAAACCAGGCCCCTCGTGTGCCCTGGAAACGTGCCAAGATAAAGTCCAGACTCATCATGGCCCCCAAACCCAAACTTGACCTTATCTCCCTCACTCTCCCCCCCCTCCCGTGAGGCCCCGGGGCTGCCCTCAGAGCGGCTGTAAGTTCATTCCCTTCTCGCCCGCTCTGTCTCTCCCTTCACACGGCCCTCCTGAGGAGCCCTGCAAGGCGACCTTCTCCGTGTTTCACTCCCGACTCAAATGTCACCTTCTTCTGAAAAAAGCATCTGTCATCTGTCACATGATCTGGCTTTATTATTATTTTTTTTAAATACACTTAACCAGTGTTTGAAGTTAATGTGTGTTCTTGTTTATCATCTTTACCATCTTCTCCCCTGACCAGAATATAAGCTCCGGGAGCATAAGGCCTGCGTCCGTCTTGCTCAAGCTTCTGTCACCACAGCCGGGACCAGGGCTGGGCACCCGGCGGAAACCCGGGTGACGCTTGCTGCCCGAGGGAAACAGGTGTGTTGCCGGCTCTAGGGTGGCTGGTTGTGACAGGTGGCCCAGGACTGAGCACTTGGGGGGAAGGTGGTAGAGATGAGTTCTCCGGGGCGGGGGGGGGGGGGGGCTGGGGAAACCTTGAAGAAGAGGAGGGATTTGAACCGTGACAAGAATTGACAGAGTGCTTTTGCAGGGACGGGAGGTGGATGACTGAGGACTTGGAGGAGGGAGGGCCAGGGTTTGGGACAGCTGGCGTAGGAGATCTAGCTGTGGAGGGGCGCCTGGGGCTCAGTCGGCTAAGCATCCAACTTCGTCTCAGGTCATGATTTCACAGTTCGTGTGTTCAAGCCTTCAATTGGGCTCGCCGCTGACAGTGTGGAGCCTGCTTGGGATTCTCTCTCTCTCTCCCTCCCTCTCTGCCTCTCTCTGCCCCTCCCCCATGTGTGCGTGCATGCACGTACTCTCTCAAAATAAATAAACTTAAAAAAAAGTTCCAGCTGGGGCGCCTGGGTGGCTTAGTCGGTTAAGCGTCCGACTTTCGCTTAGGTCGTGATCTCGCGGTTCGTGGGTTCGAGCCCCGCGTCGGGCTCTGTGCTGACTGCCAGCTCAGAGCCTGGAGCCTGTTTCACAGTCTGTGTCTCTCTCTCTCTCTCTAACCCTCCCCTGTTCACGCTGTCTCTCTCTCCTAGAAATATATATATATAAAAAAAAAAGTTCCAGCTGTGGAGCGCTAGGGACTCGGGAGATTGCCTTGGAAGAGGAGATTGGGGCCGTGCTCTGAGGGCTTCTTGTTATGGACTGAATTGTGCCCCTGCCCCCAGGATTCTTATGTTGAAGTCCTAACCCTTCTATATCCTCCGTAAGTGACTATTTGGAGATAGGGTCTGTAAAGAGGGAATCGAGGTTAAAGAGAGGTCATATGGGTGGGCCCTCATCCAATACGATTTGGGTCCTTACACGAAGGGGCAAAGCCACCCAGATGCCCACACAATGAGAACATTCCCAGCAAGGGCATGGCCATCTATAAGCCAAGGGGTGAGACCTCAGAAGGTCTCAGAAGACCCAGCCCTGCACACGCCTTCAACTGGGACTTCCAGCCCCCAGGATGGTCAATTTCTGTTGTCTAAGCCCCCCGTTCTGTGATCTTTGTTTTGGCGACCCTAGCAAAGGAATACAGGTCTTACAGCTTTTTATATTTTAATTTTACATTGTAATATTCCATCTGGTTCAGAAATCAAACATAAAAAGTAATAATGACCAGATGATCAAGGTCAACATCAACAGCAACACGTCACGTTGATAGTTTGTGCCCTTGATAAGATGTGATGAAAACGGTGCTTTACATAGATGATCTTCCTCCAAAAAATCCCAGAACCTCAGTCTGATTATAGGGAAAACATCAGATAAATCTCAAGTGAGGAACATTCTACGAAACACCCAACCTGGGGGGTGCCTGGCTGGCTCAGTCGTTGGAGCATGTGATTCTTGACCTTGGAGTCATGAGTTTGAGCCCCGTATTGGGCGTGGAGCCTACTTAAAAAAATAAAATAAAAATAATATTTTAAAAACCCACATAACCTGTACTCCTCAAAACTTTCAAGGTCATAAAAATACAAAGAACCTGGGAAATTGTCACAGCCCAGAGGAGCATGAGGAGACACGACATCTTAAATGTACTGTGCTGTCTGGATGGGGCCCTGGAACAGCGGACATTGGGTAACACTGAGGAAATCTGAAGAAGGTGTGGACTTAGTTAATCCTCGTGGATTGACACAGGGGCCTGGGCTGACAGTGTGGCACCCTAATGTAAGATGTCAACAACAGGGAAACAGGCGGGAGGGAGGCTGTGAGAACTCTTAATATACATTATCTTTGGAATTTTTCTGTCAGCCTCAAATGGTTTGAAAAATAAAGTTTATTTTTTAAAAAGTCATAGTGAAAAGTCTCACTCTGATTTCTGCCCTTCGTGCAGCGACCATCCCCACCCACAGCCACCGGTTTATTAGCGTTCTGTCCCTCTTTCAAGAATCCTTTGTGCAAACGTGAATCCAGACGGATTTTCTCCCTGAACGGCCTTTGGGTTTGCTTTGAAGAGCACTTAACCATTTTTTAAAATGTTTTTTAAGGTTTATTTTTGAGAAAGAGCATGACCAGGGGAGGGGCAGAGAGAGAGAAAGAGAGAGAGAGAGCGCGCGCGCACTTGAGTGGGGCATGCATAGGCGGGGGAGGGGCAGAGAGAGAGGAGAGAGAGAATGCCAGGCAGGCTCCGTGCTCCATGTGAGCCTGATGTAGGGCTCAATCTCACAACCACAGGATCATGACTTAGGCTGGGATCAAGAGTCGGACGCTGAACCGACTGAGCCACCCAGGCGCCCCTGCACATCTTCTTACGTTACACTGAAGTCTACATCCCACCGTCAATAGTGGTTCCTGAAGAGCCTTTTGTGACCTTTAGTCTGGGTGACGGGAGACAGGAGAGCCCTGCAGGGCGGGCGTGTGTGTATGTGACCTAGTTATGTCTGCGTGTGGGCTGAGTTAGGCTTGGAGGAGGGCAGCGTAGGGAGGCCAATTATAAACACACTTGGTCTGGATGGTGAGTGACAGGGCCTGGTGCGTGGTGGCCGCGGCAGGTGAGAGGAGAAGGACCCGCCAAGGAGCCCCTGGGGGCGGGGGCTCTGACCAGCCTGCCTGAAGGATGCATGGGGCCTTGGTGTGGGGGCAGGGCAGCCACCGCTATCTGCACCCGAGGGTCCTACAGGCAAGAGTGGGACCCCATGTGGGGAGCCTGGGTGGCTCAGTAGGTTAAGCATCCGACTTTGGCGCAGGTCATGATCTCAGTCTATGAGTTTGAGCCCCGCGTCAGGCTCTGTGCTGACGGCTTAGAGCCTGGGCCCTGCTTCAGATTCTGTGTCTCCCTCTCTCTACCCCTCCTCTGCTCTCTCTCTCAAATATAATAAACATTAAAAAAAAAAAAAAAGAGTGAGACCCCAATGGCTAGGCTTTCCTTTTCAGAAGAGTGGGCTCACGCTGACCACCTCAAGGCAGGTGTCCTGTCTCTGCAGGGCCCCGGCACAGCCCGACCTTTGCTTGGCGTAGTGGGCCAGCACCCACCCGCAGGGGTGATGAGCCTCAGCATGTCAGAGGAGGAAGGCCACCAGATACCACAGCATCTAAGCCGTCTCTGGTTACATGCAGAGAAACAGAGACCCAGAGAAGGGGTGCGAGTGGCCTAGGGCCACACAGGAGTGAGAAGCAGAGCTGGAAGAAGACCCAGGGTCTGTGACTTTCACCCATTACCTAGAGCCTCCTCTTCTCTCCAGACCCCACTCCCAGAAGAGATGTGACACGAGCCATCGCTGCCTGTGTAAGTTTGAAACTTCCCATGTGACCCCACTTCCGGAGCACCTACTGTGTACCACCAGCTGTGTGGGAGCTTCTCACACATCAGGTCTGAACCTCCCCAAATCCCAGGAGGCAGCCACTATTATTTCCGTAACCCCCCATTGTAGAGATGGGCAAATTGAGATAGAGAAGATGTAGCTTGGCTGGGATCACGCAGTGAGGGTGTGGCACAGGCAGTGTCTGTCTAACTGGAAAGTCTACGCTCCTAAACAGTAATCCCCGTGGCCTCGGAAGAACAGGGTGGCTTCCCGTGAAGGCTCACTCCCTGGCCTCCCCCGCGGGGCCCCCAGAGCCACACCAGCCATGAGCCTCTCAGTGGACAAGACAGACTACCGATGGACCCTGACGCCCCGCTGTCGTCTCCAAGACGCAGGCCCTTCCCAAGGCGGTTCGTGGCCCTGGGTGTTCAGGGCGCGGAGCGGCAGCGCCGCCGCAGAGTACACCACACACCACGTCCTCTAGTGAGGGCTCAAACGGCGGCCTTTGCCACACTCTGTTCCGTGCCCTGCGATGGGCTCTGGACACATGGCCCTGGTGGCGGTCACTCAGGCGCTCAGGCCACCGCGGGAGGTGCCACGCGAGACAAGGCTGTAAGAAGAGACCCCGTCCCCACAGATGGGGCCTGGGCTCTAACCGGGGTGGCCCGACCGCAGGGACGCTGGCCCAGGTGGGCACCTGCGTTCTAGGCCGGGGGTGGAGAGCGGGTGCGAGCGCAGGAGGGCCGGCGGATCAGGTGCCCGGGGAGGTGGGGGGGGTGTGTGTGGGGTGTTCCTGGGTCCTCCGGAGCCGGGCAGGACCGGGTCACGTGGGCGGCTTGGGGCGCACCACGCCCCTCCGGCCCGGCCCCCCCTCCCCCGCCGCAGCACCCTCTTCCACCCTGGCGCCGGGAACCCGCGGTCAGGCCGCGGTCAGACGCGGGCGCGCGCCTTCGCCGCGGGATGCGCCCCTCCCCCAGGCGGCCGTCCGGAGCGCGAGGTTCGAGTCCCGGCCTTGGTGTGACTCGCTGCAGGGGGAGCGGGGGGCGGCCTCCCCGGCCCTGCCCTTTTCCGGCCTCGGTTCTCCCACTCCGGAGGCCTGGGAGAGCCCGTGCTCTCGGTCGCGCGCGGCCCCGAGCCCACAGGCCGCCACGCGGGGCGGGGCAGCGGCGAGGCGGCCGCAGCGCGCCCGCCCGCGGGAGCGCGGACGCGCACGGGCGCGCTCGCACCTGGCCGCCGCGAGAGCGGGTTTGGGGGGCGGAGCCTGTAAGCCCCGCCCCCACAACCAGCCCCCGGGCCCGTCGGGCCAATCGGAGAGGGCGGCTGGCCCCGTGTGGGGCGACGCGCTGGGGGCGGGGCCTGCGGGGGCTGTGGAGAGAGCCCGAGGGCCGGCGGCGCAAGGCGGTCGGGCGGAGGCGGCGACGGCCGGTCCCGGGACGGCGACGCAGCGCGCCGGCGGCCGCGACAGGGCCGGTCAGGCTCCGCAGCCCGCCGCAGCCGCAGCCGCCGCCTCGCCGCTGAGGGCCCGAGATCGCGGCGGCGGGTGCGCGGCCTGTGAGGACGGTCGGAGCGGCGGGCGCGGCGCGGCGCCGAGCGTCCTGTCAGGCGGCCGAGGGCGCCGCGGACCCGCGCCGCGATGATGCCGGTGGGTGCGGGCGGCGGCGGCTTCCTCCGCGGGCGGCGGGCCAAACCTCCTTCCTCCCGCGGCTCCCCGCCCCCGGGGCCCGCGCGAGGCAGGGCGGGCGGGCGGGGAAGGAAGTGGCCTGGCAGGCGCGCCCGGCCCCGGCGCCCCCCGGGCGGGCAGGTGGGGGCGGCGCCGGGCTGTCAGCGCGGACCCGGCCGGGCCAGGCAGGCCTGGGGCCGGGGTCGGGGTCGGGGCGAGGATCGCGGCGGGTGCTCCCCGCCCTTGCGCCGCGGGGTCCCACCCCCATCGCCCGCTCCCCCGGGCCGGCGCCCCCTCGGCCGCGGTCGGCCCTTGTGCCGACCCTGCGAGCCGGGAGCTGCCCGGGAGGGGAAGCAGGAGGTGAAATTGGAGCCAGTCGTGTTTTCCTCGGTTCTGGCGGGTGGTCAGACGGGCCGGGGGGGGGGGGGGCGCTGCCGTTTGGCGCCCGCTCGGTTTCGGGGTCTCGCGGCGCCCGAGTGACCCCGGTGTGAAATTTGCAGGGGTCGCGTCCGCAGTCGGCGGTGTGTACACCTCCGTGTGGCGTTCCCACGCTTGGAACCCCGGATCTGTCCCCGGTCCTTCCCTGAATCTGAAATTGTGTGGCGTTTAGGAATTTACGTGGGGAATGGATTCGGAGAGCCATCTTAGGAATTCCCCTCGGCCGCGTCCTGCGCGCCCGTACGTGGTGCTTTTAGTGGCCTGTCGTCGCTGTGTCCTGGAGGCTGAGCGGGGTTCCGGGTGGCGGTGCCGCCTTTGTCCTGTCCTCAGGGATGCGTTCTGCTAGCGAGAAGGCACTGTCGTTAGAGTTGCCATTTCCTCTACCTGCAGTCTAAGTCGCAGTGGGCGCTGAGTTGTCGTGTTTCTCATCTGGATTTTCTGTGAGATAAATGCCATGACTTAGGGGAAAATGTAGGACTGGTGGCACCCAGATGGGCGTATTGGTTTTCTGAGTGCCTTTATTTTATGGTAAAATTCTGAAACGCATTTATAGGAAAGTAAGAACAAAATCCTTGTTTCGACCTACAATTTCTACGTTGGGAATCCCATTTCTGAAGGAAAGCACCGTTTCTCTGCATTTTCAGCCTGGAGGCTGCTCTTTTGCAACGCTACACTCAAGGACGTTTGGATTAGAATCCCCCCCCTCCCACCCCGCCTCATCTTTCGGGTCCTTTCCTGTCGCTTGCTAATCTCTTCCCCCCTTTTTTGAGCGGATTCCAGCACATCGTGTTTGCAGGGGCTTAAGCTTCGACCTCACGGATCCGTAGATCCTTCTTTGGCATCAGGGCTTGTTGGGTTTCGAAACGTTGGGTTGAAAATGAATGATCGTCTTATAATGGAAGGAGAGCTGGGTGAGGATCAGACGTCCGAGTTGGGTCCTGGGTCTGCTACTTTTTATCTGTGTGACCTTGAACAAGTCAAGGTCTCAAGCCTGGAATTACCTCTAAAGTAGGAGTAAAAACACCCCAGTGGCCGAGGGCTTTTCCTGAGGATCAAAAGGATGCTGCGCCCAGGGTGCTGGTCAGACAGAACGCCGGGCACCGCGTCTTGTTGGTGCTGCGGCTCTAATTTTAACCGCTGGAGATAAGGCATCCGGAAGCCGTTCCTCCTTCCTTCCTGGTTCTTGCTGGCCAGTGTGGAAAAGGCGGTATGGTGTTTGGAAATTTTGAAAGCAGGTTTAGTTAAATACCGTGCTGGTTAGTTGTACTCTGTACTGCAGTAAGGTTGGAGGATATCTAGGAAATTTTGATTGGCTTCATCATTGTGTAATGTTTAATTATAGATACCCTGTTAGGGACCTGGCTTACATTTTCCATATGGTACGCTGAGACATTTTACCTCCGTTGCACATGGTGAGAGTTTCTAGTCTCTTCCTTATCGTGTTTCTTTTTTAAG